AGGGGCTACATTCACCCCAAACTGCAACCTCTTTACCTTGAAAGCCCCTCTATGGGTCAAAATAGTCTGAGCCTCTGCTGCTGCATCATCAACAGGCAACTGTTGATACGCCTGAGCCAGGTCTAGCTTTGCAAAAAAATTTCCCTCTTTAAGGGAAGCCAAAATGTGGCTCACTACAGGTATTGGATATGCATGTTGCTGTAGGGCCTTGTTAAGTGTGCACTTGTAGTCTGCACATATACGAATGTCCCCATTTGCCTTTAAAGGCGTTACAATGGGAGTTTCCCATGGGCTAGAGTCTACAGGCTCTAATATGCCTTGCTGGAGCAACTTGTCCAGTTCAGCATCAATCTTACTCTTAAGAGCAAATGGTACTCTCCTAGGTTTAACCCTTATGGGCTATACAGCTGGATCTAGCTTTAGTGAAACTGGAGGTCCCTTGTAGGATCCGAGCTCAGAGCTAAACACATCTGCAAACTCCTTGCAGACTTCTGCTAGGGTTTCCGTTTGCAAATTGTGAAACCCTGTGACCTGGATTCCTAGGGCCTCAAATCAATCGAGTCCAATCAGACTCATGCGTTCACCCCCAACAACCAACACATCTAAGGGACCTTCAAAATCCTTATACTGTACCTTAACATTGGCCTCCCCCTTAACGCATACCTTGGAATTTTGAAAGTCAGTAAGAATTACATTGGAAGGCCTGAGCGTAGTTCGCTGACCGCTGCTGCTGCAGATTTTCCGGAATGTGTTGAGGGAAATTATGGAGAGGGCAGACCCCTTGTCCAGTTCCATAGACAATGGAACCCCTTGCAACCTTACTTTGAGGGACAATTTCTTCTTGAGGGGTTTGTGTGTGCCTATCCTTAATATATTTCTGCGTGTTGCACAGAAACCCACCCTGTTTTGGCTGGGGACCCTGGTACCTTTCAGATTCAATTCTTCCTTCGGTTGTACCTTCAGCCGACTCAGACAGATAGCTGCAATGTGGCCTTTCTTGCCACACATTCTGCAGATGGCGGAACGGAACCAGCATTCCGCCCGCTTGTGGTGACCTCCGCACCCGAAGCATCGAAGCTCAGCTGGGCCCTTGTCTGGACGATCCTTTGGCCTCCTCCCGGATGCTTGATAAAGCTTGTCCACTTCATCTTCAGGATCCTCTTCTGAGTCCTCCCACATGTTCTCCTTGTGGACGGTTGTAGTCTCTGGAGCACTTTGAGTGGGCCGCAGATTCTTTACCACTCTGCCTGCAGCTTCCTCTGCCATAACCTCTCGCAGAGCATCTTGGAAAGAGACATCTTCCTTAGCAAACAGCTTCTGCTGTAAGTCTCTGTTCCTCAGTCTGCATACAAAACGGTCGCGCAGCCTTTCTTCTAAATCCTTGAACTCGCACGGTTTAGCTGCTCTTCTCAAAGCTGCAATAAAGTCTTTTGCTGATTCCCCAGCTCGCTGATCTCTCTGTTCGAACGTGTGCCTCCACGCAATGACAGATTGCTTTGGCTGAAAATGGTCTTTCAAAAGTTTCTTGAGATCAGAGTACGAAACAGCTTCTAGTGAGGCCGGGGCAACCAGATTCTTGGTGATCTCAAAGGCATCTTGCCCACAAACACACAACATTGTGGCAGCCTTTAATCCATCTTCCCTTATCTGATTCACTCGGAAGTAAGTCTCCACCCTTGCAACGTAAGATTCCCATTTTTCCAGGTGGGAGACATCAAATTCAGATAAGCGACCGATTTTTGCCATTATCAAGGGACAGGGTTTTCTTCAGCTGCACTCACCCTCCAGCGACGCTGTACTGGCAGGATAGACGCTGACTTCAATGCCGTCATCCCTCTTCCGGACTTCTTTTGGGTGAGTCTTTAAGCTTCCCTAGCTAACTAGACTGAATCCCACCTTCGTTGCCAGTGGTAAGTCCTTGGATAAATGGCGAAGGAGGCAATTCATGTTACAGAACAGATCTTTATTTCTCTCAGTCACAACAACCAACCAACAAGAGCAGAGGCACGCAGGCCTCCTTTTATACTCCCGGATCCCCGGGCAACAACAACCAATAGCAGGCACCCTTTTTCCCGCCTTGCACATGCGCGCAAGGCTGGCGCCGCTCAGTCTGGTCCCGGGCAGCTTTTGCAATGCCCGGGACTCTTGCAGCGTCCCAAGCCTGCTTCTGCAGGCTCAGGACACAATAGTTATGTTATTGATTTTATATGCTTTGGTTTTATGTTATTTTCTGAAACTGCTCAGGGTCTTGGCAAATGAAGGAGTATATAAGCTGAAATAATTAATACATAAATACTACTGCCCTCCTATGGAGCAGTATATGCAGGCTGCCAGAATGAAGTGATGGTGGGGGGTCAACCTATTTTCCAAAGCACCAAGAAGGCAACACAAAAAGCAATGAATGGAAACTGAAAAAAAGAGAGAAGCAATGTAGAACTAAGGAGAAATTTCCTGACAGTAACAGCAGTCTATCAATGGAATAACTTGCCTTCAGAAATAGTGGGTGCTCCAATACTGGAGGTTTTTAAGAAGAGATTGTCTAAATTGGTATGGGACAGTAATGGTGAACTTTTTAGAGACCGAGTGCCCAAACTGCAATTCAAAACCCACATTTTATCACTGAGTGCTGGGTGGACATGGCCCACTGGGTGGGTGTGGCTGCGGTGGTCACGGCAGACTGGGTGAGTGTGGACAGGGTGGGCACGGCCACCTCAAAGTTGCTTGTGGGAAAGGATGCCTGTGGGGGCAGAGCAGAGTTGGGGGAGATCCAGGGCATCTCTGGTGTGTGGGGTGGTGGGCAGGAGGTTTATCCTATTGGGTGAGACGAGGCGAGGCAGGGAGGGGGTGCCAATTACTGCCGGGCAAGGCAACGCGAGGCAGGGGCCGGGGCACCTGCTGCCTGACACCATCGGCCCCCACACACAGAGGCCAGTGAGCGCATGGGGGCTGACAGTGTCCATCAGCAGACATAGCCTGCTGGCTGTCCTGCATCATGGCAAACTGGCCATGGAGTTCCATCGGTGCGGGCAGAGGCAGCCCCAGGATGGCCGGAAGGAAGCCCTTGCCCGGCCTGAGCCCTGTCCGCTTCATGGCACTGACGGGGGCTGCTGCTGCTGCTGCTCTGACTGGCCAACCATGCAGGGAAGCAGGAGGAGGTGGAGGGGCAGCTGGGTGTCTGGAGCCGCCTCAGCTGCTTGATGAGGCAGCGGATCTCGCGTACTGGTCCCCCTCCACCTCCTCCTCTTCCCTGCATGGTTGGCCAGTTGGAGCAGTAGCAACAGCTGCCCCCGTCAGAGCTGTTGAGCAGATAGGGCCCAGGCTGGGCAAGGGCTTCCTTCCGGCCTTCCCGGAGCCGTCTCTGCCTGCACCAATGAGGCTCCGTAGCCAGTTTGCTATGATGCAGGACAGCTTGCAGACTGTGGCTACTGACGGACACCATCACCCCCCATGCGCTCACTGGTCACTGTGTGCGGGGGGCGATGGTGTCCAGCAGCAGATCTGGAAGCAAAGCTGTGCCACCCATCCTTGTGCTGGTGGGGGTGGTGGTAGTGGGGGGTGGCGGGATCTGGCGTGCACCCACTCTTCGCTGCTGCCACCCGACATCGTCCCCCATGCGCCTCCGGGATGTGCGTGTGGAACGATGTGGGGTGGCAGCAGTGAGGGGTGGGCATGTACCACTGCTTGCCTTCCCCTGCTGCTACCCTACCAGCGCGTGTATGGATGGCACAGCTTCGCTTCCAGATCTGCTGCCGGCCGGGCCTGGCGATGCAGAGATCACCACCACCACCTCCTACCCAGCCCCCGTGTTGCCCAGGCGCCACTTCCCCATGAGGCTGGGCAGCTGATGTGCAACATCCACTGGCTCATCGGGCTGCTGAGGCGGGGCCGGCTGCAGCCAGCGAGCAGCTGAGGTGGCTCCAGATACCTGGACACCCCTCCTCCTCCTCCTGCTTCCCTGCCTGGTTGGCCAGTTGAGGGGCTTGGAGCAGCAGAAGCAGCAGCAGCTGCCCCCATCAGAGCCACAGTGTGAACAGGGTCTGTTCCAGGTGAGGGCTCCCTTCTGGCTGTCCCGGGGCCATTTCTGCCCATGCTGATGGGGCTGCACTGTGGAAGGGAAATAGAATGGATATGATTCCCCACTGCCTCCCCCAGCCCCCTGCCTGATGCCCCTTTTATGCAATCCTATGTGACTGCAGTGTGGATGAGAGGCTTGGCCGGCGAGGGGAGATGGCTTTCGTCTGCGGAGGCATCCCAGTCCTCCCTAAACAGACCCCCTAGCCTTCCTCCAGCCAGGACCTGATGACCCCCCACCCTCCTGCACCCACTCCAGTCCAAGACCCCTGCATCCCGCCCAACCATGCCCTCCTGCTCCCCCCCAGCTGGGACCTCCAGCAATTCTGCAACCGGGAGCTCCTGCCCCCACCCCAGCCGACCCCCCCCCCCGAGCAGCCCACCCTGACCAAGACAGAGGGAAGGCGAGGCAGAGAACCAGTTGTTAAATAATTTGAAACCCACCACTGGTCATTTCCAAAGGCCGCTCACTCACTCTCCCGACAAAACTTGCTCCTTTTATAGGTTCCCTTCTCCCCGCTCGGCTCTCACAGCTGTTCCTGGACTCCGCATGCATGGAGAGGGGGAGGGGAACAGCCCGGTCCTGCGTCCCTCTGTCTTGGGCGACGGCGCACGTGCCCATAGAGAGGGCTCTGAATGCCACCTCTGGCACACGTGCCATAGGTTTGCCACCACTGGTATAGGATCACCTGCTTGAGCCGAGGGTTGGATTAGAAGACCTCCAAAGTCCCTTCCAACTCTGTTATTCAGTTATTCTGAACATTGCTCCACCCATTTTCTTTCCAATTCATTTTTCAGGACGAAGGCACGAGGGTTCTCTATTATCCTTGCTGGATTTGGGGTGATCTGTGCAAACATTTCAACATCTCATTTTCCCCCAGCTAAGCATCCTACCTCTTTTCCTCCTCCCCCTTTCTGTCTTTTTTCAGCATTGTGGGGAGTGTGACAAGTGCCCTTGTAAAGATGGGGACAGCAGTGACTACTGCGTGAGCTGCCAGGTTGGTATTTCAGTTTCTCTGCCTCCATCATCTGTTCTCTTTCTTCTCCTGCAAGGCTTAGTAGTCTGGCTTCATGAATGTTCAGTAATCTTATCATATCTGTTTTCCTCACACAGTATTGTCATTTCTGCTACATTTGTCCTGTCTGCGAGACAGCCTGTGCACCAGGTGAGCAGTAGGTTATTTTTTTATTTGTTTGTTTAATGGACAGGATGTCAAATCCAGTCAGGGAGTAAGGTAAATCTGAGTTCAAATCTTGACTGGTTCAGTTGAGTTGCCATTGAGAAGAAACAGGAGGGAACCCTTCCTACCCCAGACATCTCCGTAACTGAATTCACATATCACACTAAACCATACATTTTATTTTGCTTAGCATCTTGCTTGACTGCAGCCATTGCAGTTTCTAAATGATGGCTAATAGTTGTCTGTTATGCAAACTCATTCAATTGTTGTTTATTCAATGAACTACAGTAAATAAAACACAGTTTGGTGTGATGTATGAACCCAGCCTATGTATGCTTTTTGGAGACAAGATGATGCAAATTAACAATCAATCTCCTTATCTTCCTTGTTCTAGAAACATGAACCTCTCATTTGTTCTATTTTATGCAGGAAGTATCGTAGATGAATTATCTGGAGCCTTATTTCAGTAAGTGAGAACCTTCCTTCCTCCTTCCTTAGTAGCACAAAGTCCTTTTCTCTCCTCAGATCTGATTTTGCAGCTCCTGTTTTGTTGATTTTTAACAAGCTTTCCACTTAGAACTTGGGTCAACCATGAGTATGGTAACTAATGTTGCTTTACCTAAGTGTTGCTCTGATGATTTCTAGGAGGAGGAACAGGAGGCAATCATTGCTATATTATAATAAAGTCACGTGAAATTATAGTAATAATGCAGTTGCCAAATTACTACCGTCAACAACAAAATAATCTTTTTTTCCCTTTTGCAGGACAATCGCTACCATATTTGAGCAGCAGGAACACTGAAGCGCCCTCTGCCGGATAAGCCAAAATTAGGAGAGATGATGACACTGACTTAGAGCCAAACTGTAAACAAGGGCAAATATATGGCTGTTCTTTTCAGCAATGTTTTCCTCTTCCTCATCTTTGCAAAAAGCTTCCTAAGATTGCTTTTGTCCTTTGAAGGAAAAAAGCAAAAAAAAGCAAAAAAAAAGGTGGTAGCAAAGCAACTTAAGATCTGATACCAAGTGAGCAATAAAAGGAGATCTGTAACAAACCATCTACACCACTCATTTGTTTGCTCCCAAAATCTACCTTTTGAAATTGCTTTTGATTAAAATAATAATAAAAAAACTCTCCTACTGTGATGAAGACTCATAGAACTGTTGTCTTGTTGAGCATTTGGGCTTTTATTTGGGCAGGGAAATTGTCCTATACAAGCCAGGGCACGTTAAGTGAAATGAAATTTCAAACAAGACATTTCACCTTGAGTTAAGGAATACTTATTGTCTATTGTATTTCCTTAGCTATTAAATGTTTGAGAACCTCATCATACCTGCAGCTTACTCCTGAGCAATAGGTCAACGACTCGTGCTGTAGTCATTTTCCCTCACTCATGACCTCCAGATTCGTTGTAGCAACTCCAATGTCGGCTACAAGAAGAATCAAATCTGCCATCTCTGAAAAGTACCAGATAGAGGAAGTCAGTCTTAGTAAATGAGCCAGAATAGGAGATGACTCATGCTAGTGTGAATTTGCATCAATGTTTGTTCCTGAATTGTGACTCAGTTCAGTGAAAAATATTCTGTCTGACACTCTTATGAAAATTGTATCTATTTGAATTGAATCTAAGTGTGTTCATTTTTACAGTACTTACTTAGCATGTCATTCTGCCCATCGGGTCCCCAGTGTCTCATCTGTGATAATTCTTTTGGCATAGGAACAGTTTCACTTGAAACAGCCTTCATCAAAAATTATAGAACTACCTAAGCCAGCTTTCTACTCTGCACAACCATTTAAATATTTTATTTATTATTTATTATTTTACAACAGTTTGTTTACTACCTATTAGCAATGATTCTAAGTAGCTTACCTAAAACCACACCCTACTAATCTCTCCTTTCCCAACTCTTTCTGGTCTGTCAGTTCTTTGGGAAACTATTTTCATGGCTTTCTAGAATAACAAAAGGCAAAACTGAAAACATAAAACTATATTGTACCAAGTATGATTTCTGTGCCTAAGAAACTCTGAACATTTGTAGTCTTTATGAAGATACCAAAGAATCTGACACAGACAGCCATTTCCTCATACAGCAGCTTTCATAAACTGGGATCTTCCCAATATACTGGCACTACGACACCATGTAGAGAAGGTTGCTATATATTAAGTCCTAGCACAATTTTTTTTTCTGGAATGCCATCACAGCTAAACTGGCTATAATACTTTCAGGAACTAGGTTTCTAGTGCCATCACTTTCAAGATACCAGATTCCATTTCTTCTTGCATAACTGTACAAAGAAAAGGCAGGGGTTGGGAAAGATGTTGCTATTTAAGCCACCATTAGTATTCTGTGCTTCAGGCAAAGTCATGCACAATAAGAATGCTGATCCAGAAGTAACCTTTTTTTTGTAGGCATAGCCACAGGCTATATACCCTATTCTACAAATTTATTTTTTTAATTAAAGTATTTTATTCAGTCTTCTTAACTAAGTGCTAATAAGTTATTTTACAACCATTATATAAGCCATTTTTGCTTATATATTAGTTAGGATCCCTCACTTGACAAGTAGTACAAATGATGTATCATCTTTTCTCTTACTGCATTATACCATTTTTCTGCACCTGATGCCTTTCTTTATTCAAAGGTAAAAGACCCACCTCTTTTATGTCTGGCCATTGCACTGAATCTCAGGAAGCCAAAATTGGATAGATTAAACCAAATAGGGAACTCTAGCTGAAGACTGGATCCCATAGATTCAGAGTGAGGATAAATCTCAACTTGGCTGACGGTAATTAATGATTTGTCTCACTTGTTCAGATGTGGATTAAGTTTTTGAACAAGAAACACAAGAAAGAGTTTGACCAGGGGATGTTGATAGAATCTACTACTTCAAGAAGTAAAACAGTGTGAACAGAATCTGAAAACCAATGTGCTAGATAGACTCCAAGCTAAAATCTGAGCTTCCTTGTGACCTCAGATTTTGAGACTCACCTGCTTTGGCTCAAATAAAAGTAATCTTCTCTCTCCATTCAAATGATGGATGCACTTCTCCAGACTTTTTAAACAATTTATAGCCTTCACTTTGTCTAGTTTTCATGAAGAATAAACTTTAAAACTTGCTTCTAAACTTGCTGTGTGTTTTCTCTAAAGCCTTCACTTTGATTAAGTAGTCTTAAAGGATTTGATCATCCTAGAAACTCAAAATTTTAGGGAATTGGGCAAGTAAGGGGCATATTTTTTTTCCTCATTAATTGGAGGAAGCCTTTGGGATGCCATGAAGAATAGGGCAATGTCATGTTTCTGTGCCTTTCTTCCTTGATTAGCTCTTCCCTGGATCCTCTGTATTGCATAAGGAAAAGAAAAGCCACCCCTTATCCTTTAAAATTCTATCGGTAACTTTAAAATGAGTATTGACCATTAAGTGCATTCTTGGCTAAAATAAATCTGCTTCCAATGCAGGTTTCTACAGTTAGTACACTAATTTGACACTGGATGAGGACTTCTATATCTAGGCAGATCCTGATAACCATTGGATGGCAGCAAATACCGCAGATTTCTTTTTGTAGCCTATGTCTAAAATATCTACAACAGATTATCCTGCGGATGCTACCAAGCTACCAGAATACACAAACTGGGCCCTAATGCAGATCTATGATCTGATGGGGGCAGATGCGGAGATACTAATAGGAAAGCTAACACAATGCCCATCCTTATTATGAAAGGAGAAATGTATTTATAGAAAGAGAATTATAGAGTTGTAAAGACCAAAGGGGGAACTGATTATGGGGAGGAAGGGGCTTAAACATATCAGTGTCCAATGATAATAGAACCCAACTCTGTGTTTTCTTGGATATCTTCCCCCCCCCTCTAATATAAGAGGGAAGTAGCTGTCCCTGAAGAGGTGAAGAAAATAATGGGTTCAGTCTTTGATATCAAGAGAGGCTGGGTGAAACCCAAAGCCTTTGGACAAAAGGCTTTTGACCTCTATGTATCCTGTTTTCAAAGAATTCAATGGACACACAAAGTATTAGCCAGCTGCCAGGAGGAAAAAAATAAAAACCCAAACCCAATCTTCTTATTGTTCCAATTGTTAGTTTGGAGAGGTAGATTATTAACTAGGGCACTTCTAGATGGATGGCTCCTCCACAAGAAATCCAATGGCCTTGTGGAACCATGCATTCTGGTAAAAGGAAAAAAAAACTGGGAGGTTTAGAAGTGTAAGAATAATCATCTGATCAACATATGAAGTTCAGCATTAGGTCAGTGGTGGCGAACCTATGGCACGGGTGCCAGAGGCGGCACTCAGAGCCCTCTCTGTGGGCAAGTGCGCCGTCGCCACAGTCCTAGGCCTTCAGCTGGGTTTTATAAAACCTTTTTGCTTTAGGCCTCCACTGCCGTGTGCAAAAAAAAAAGTTCAATCAGTCAATTTCAACTTCTCGCGGGAAAAAAAAAGATCTTGCAAAGTTGGAATTGATTGATTGAACTTTTTAGTCCCACCCAGTCTGCCATTACCACTGCAGCCACGCCTACCCAATGGGCCACACCCACCCGGCACCCGACAATGCATAAGTGGGTTTTGAGTTGCAGTTTGGGCACTCGGTCTCTAAAAGGTTTGCCATCACTGCATTAGGTGATTGCTTAAGAAAGTCACAGATAATTGCTTAAGAAAAGGTTAGTCTGGAAAGACTCTAAATTCCACATTCTGGGTGTTTCTGTGCTTACTTACCCACTGTTTAATGATTTCAGTTTAATAGACTGGTTTTAATGGACAAGGCCTGCTGAATGGGATATGTGATGCTGAAGCACCAGCTGAGGCAGGGAAGGAAAGGTTCTGGGAAAATCAGGTGAGCAGACAGAATGCATTGAGACATTAGTGTTAGCGGGTAGGAAAACAGATGAAAAATAAAAATAAAATAAAAAAGGGATGGGAATATTAAAAGTGGAAGGATCAATTGGGGATGGGAGCTTTTGAAATATTCCATGCTGAGTGCTGTTGACAGGAAAGAGGTGGGCAACACACACTCTTTTATTGCTACAATATTCCCGTAGGTTTGGTTGGGTTGAGATGACAGGTAGCCCCAAGTCACCCAGTGAACTCCATTGCCAAATAGGAACCTGATCCTTGGTGCTCCCAGTCCTTTGTACCAATGTTGAGATTACATCAGAGAAAGCACCATATTATCAGTAGAGTAGTGGCATGCCAGCTAGAAAGGCTAAAGCTAGCAAGATAAAACAAGATTCTAAAGACCAGAGCAGGATGTGGTTCAGGTGCCCTTCCCTTCAAAGACCAAGAAATAAGGGGCAAGAAGTCTGTTACCAAATAAAAGTGGAAGAAAAAGACCTAAGATTTAAATTCTAGCACTATTATGTACAGCAGCCTGGATTGCTGGATCTGTGATAGCTGCTCCACATTATTAGGGTTTTCTACAATCTACAATACTAGCAACATATGTACCTATAAGCCTTATCCTTTCTACTGCTGTCTTAGCTCCTAAATGCTGGTTGTATTGAAAGTAGTTTACAGTATTGCAGTGTCATAGGCAAGGCTCTGGGTGCAGGATCTGAAAACTAGCAGTGCTGGGCTGATTAAGGGAGCATTGCAATATCCCTCCAACCTCTGGTTCTGTTAGAAGAACGGTGGCCTCTTAAAGGCTAGAATAGAAGCAAAGAATGTCAGGAATTGCCTCACAGAAAGCAGAAAGAGATCCTTTTGTGAATTATGTACCTTACTCATAAAGAAAAATCTGCAGATCCTAGAAAACGTTTTCAATTTTTTTTCTTTTTTCTTTAAAAGACATTTCTTAGCTCACTCCCCTTGTGACCCTCCCTCTCTGCCTTCCCTGGAAGCAAACGGGAATGAAGGGGACCAGAAGATACTTCCTCCAGTACCTCAGCTTCCTGCTTACCCCTCACAATCTCCCTGACAGATTTGATTTCCAAGATTGTATTTTTTCCCCCCTCTCCTACCCATTTTTTTTTTCATGCAAAACTACCCCTTTGCTTTGCCCTTCACGCCCACACATTCTCCCTGGAAGAAACAACTGAAATAAAAATATTTTAAAAAGTTGAAAATATATAAACATCAAATAAAAATTATTGGCGTGCAGGGCAGAGGGGGTAGCAGGACACATTATTAAATTAACAGAGAACCTGTAATGGCGGTCGAAAAAGAAATTCAATTTACACGAGATTCCACAGCACAGATATACACAGAAAATACAACTCTTATATTACAATAGTCTTGGAGGAAGGGAGATCTGTGTGCCATATCAATAAAGTCCAGAGTCGTATCTCCAGTGACCGTCACAGGCTGAGGTCTACTCTTTTAAGTCAGAACATCTCGGACATGAATTCCTCACTTTCTGCTCTCATAAAAAAAAGAAGAAAAGAAAAAAAAATGTGATGCTCCATCCCACCAGATAGACCACCTATCTACTGGGACTGCTTTCATGCCAGCACCAAGAGAGTTTGGATGAGCACTTCTAGTCCTCTTTCCTTCCTCCTCCTCCTCCTCCTCCTCCTCCTCCTCCTCAGGTGTTCTCTGATCCAGAGGAACAGGGAGCTACAAAGGCAAGGGGAAGAGAAGAGAAAGAGGGAATTCTTTTATTTGTTGACTAGTGCTGAGAAGCAGCTACTTCCAGATAGAACCTCTATACTCAGGCATCCAAATCCGAAGCTCTGTGAATCAGACCTTGGGGCAACTTGCTCTTTGGGGTGGGCATGAGCGGAGGGAGGTACGCTGGCTTTGTTCCTCCTGGCTTCAATGCTCTCCCCTTGTTGAGAAGAGGGATGGGATGAGGCAGAAAAAAAAGAAGAAGAAATAACTGGCCTTTGAGCAACCATCTCTTTTTTGCCATCAGGAGGTGAAACGGGACCCCTTCATAGCAGCAACTCAAAGAAAAGGAAAGGAAAAGTGCTGGCGGAACATTTAGCACCTATGGCAGGGCAGGGAAGGGGAACTGGCCAAGATGGGTTGCTTGGTCCAATATGTGGCATATGGCAACAGGAAATAGAGGCACCTCCCTCACTTCTCCTCCCCCCCCCCTGCTCCCACCAGAAAGATCTGGTGGCATAATATGGGATAGGATGCATGGGCAACCACATTTTCTCATTCACATTCTTAGGTCCCTGCCCGGAACAAACAACAACAATAAATAGAGGCCAAGATGGAAGGCCATTTCCCTCTGCTGCTCTGGGGAAGGAGCCCCTCCTTGGCTTGAGTCCCTTGAGTTCATCATTGGCCACTGCTGCTACTAGGAAGAAGGTAGTGTGGAGGAACATGGTTGGTTGGTTGGTTGGTTAGTTGGTCACTCATTCTGTTCAGCATCTCCCACAAGCTTCGATATTCCTTCTTGGCAACAGTGGCAGCAGCGGCGATGGTGCTAGCAGCAGCAGCAGCAACAGCAGCAGCAGCTCTTCATACCCTCATGTGAGCACATGATGGAGAAGGAGAGGCAGCGGCGGCGGCAGCAGCAGCAGAGGGTCTTCCTGCCCAAGGCAGGGAGGTCAGACTACTTGGGACAACAGCTTGCAAGAAAAAGAAAAAGAAGATTAGGGGGGGGGGGAAGCATCTCAGGACACTTTTAACAGTTCTGAAAAGATGTTTCTTTCATTTTTGATTCTAACTTTCCCCCTATAGCACACATGTAGTTCTATACTAGTGTTTCTCAACCTCAGCAGTTTTAAGGTATGTGATCCTCAGTGCCTAGAATTCCCTAGCCAGAATGCTGCACTAGGGAAGGAAACTAAGGCTAAGCCAAGGATAATCCTGAGATGTCCTGAGTTACGGTTGCATCGGCATTACTCAGTGCCAAACCTATACTAGTCCTCGAAGTTAGATTTTAGTTGGGAAAACAAAAAATAAAAATAAATCCTAACCCATCCTCTGATTCATTTTGCAGAAAACTTACCCCCTCCTTTATTTTCTGATTTATACTAGGGCATAACATAGCTGGCTGAATTATTACTGTTACATTAATACATATAGGATGCTCAGCCTGCCTACTAAATTAATTCATTTTCTGTGTTTTCACCCAGAATAATCAACTAGCCAACCATATTGGGTTCATACGATGGTGTAAGTTACAGAGAAATACAAGACAATGCTAATCAATGTTAGCCTGCTGTGCAATTGTGGCTACAGGTATTTAACTGACTTGATTGAGTTACTGTGTGAACACAGATGGTGAGTTACATGCTCATATCCTATGCATGAATGTTGATTTCAAAAAAAGAAAACCACATTTGGACAATACCATTATGGGGACCAACCAAAATGCTCTGAAAGAGTTTGTAAGTTTTCAGTTTCTTAAGCAAAAAGTTACAAAAAATATAGGAGGGGGAAAAAACCCAAAAAGTTAGGATAGTTTTTTTCAGCTACAGTTGACAGCCATGTCAAGTCAGAGGCTGTCAACTACATACAACTGTTAGTGAGAGTAAAATGGTTGCTACCCACAACTGTGAAAACACAGAGTCAATAAGTACATATTCTGCCTGTTCCACAGGTGAAATTCACAGGCTCCTGGCCTGGCAGAAAACAGAAATAAAGAAACATTTACAATTTTTGTCAAGAAAGCCAAAAAATATTTTGGGATTGTTTGCTCTATGATAAAAAAAGTATTCAGTTTTAATCTGCAGCTTTTACTGCCTAGAATTGTATGCTTGTTTGTCATGATCATTATAAATGATGTTGAGAGACAGATAAATTGATTTGTTTGTTTAGAGAAAAAAAATACATTTATTGATGATTGGAGGCCACTTATGGATTTTTCCCCCATAAAATGAAAAAAATCTGTGATTTATGATTTTGATGATTAGATAGCATATATTATAGAAAGAAGAGTAATATGATGTAACTTAGAGAGGTTAAAATATATTTGCACTTCTAACTGCTGTGAAGAATTTATTTTATTTTCTGAGAGGAAATCAGAAAATCCCAGAGATATAGATTAGATCACAGACTTTTAAAATCCCAGAATACAGCAACAACAAACATGACCAGATTGATGTCAAGAAAACAACATATATATGTTCATATAGTCATCAAAAGTGGGCTAGATCCAATGGATTATTCTCTAATTTAAATGTGGATTGTTCCCAGTAGAAAAGAGCAATTTTTTTTCATTTTGAGGCTGTATCCTTTATCTGAAAAGCTGACTCATTATATTGAGATATAACAGAACCCTAATAATAATGATACATGTCAGTTAGGGTATGCCTACCTGCTCCATCTTGGCATTAACAGGAATATGTTCTCACTGACATACTGTCTGTCCGTTGGCTACCTAATGAGTTCCCTGAGGAGAAAAGAAAGAGAGGAAGGCATTCTTAAATATATCCACCAGAGCTTTGAAAAATACCTCTTGATTGGCCAAAGATGTCCTGAACTGTTAATGCCTTGGCCCATGTATTAGCCAAAGGAAGAGCCTCTATAGATAACATGCACCCTCACACCTTGTGGTCTTTAGCCTGGCCATTATTGTTGACCATCTTTTCTCATTGTTCTGTATTAGGAAATACATGAATATGAAATATAAAAGCTAACACTGCTTTTTAAACATTGGCTCATCTCTGTAAACTTAAGGGGAAAAAGCAGCTCCACTCATTTGGTGTCATTGTTCAAGCAATTGGGATTGGTAGGCTCTCCAGGAAGATGAACTGCTTCTTTCAACAATTAAAAGGTTGTTCGTCTTATCCTAAACTGTTTTATGCTACAAGTCCCACAATGGTTCTTGCCAAAGAAAGTGGTCTCAACAGTATAATGCAGTCCAGATAACAAATGCCCTTTTCACAAGTACATAAAACAAAATTTAAAAATCTGCAGTCTTTCAGATTGTTACTGAATCAGAATTCCCAGCAATGGCTGTGCTAGTGAAGGCTGCTGTGTGTAGTAGTACAGAGAACCACAAATTTCCCATCCCAAGATTAATTTGCTAATGAGAAAGAAATATATGTAATTGAGCAGTCTTTTCCTGACTGCAGCAAGAGTTCTTTATGAATAGAAATTGGAATTGAGAGATACATCAACTCCCACAAGACAGGATTGGATGGAAAAAATGATCGAGCAGGCAGAGATGACAAAATTGAGTGTTTTAATTAGAGAAAAGAATATATCCAGTCTTGTTTCTACCAGGAAACTGCTTCTGGACCTTGTGGTTGAGATAAAACAAAATAAAATCTTCACTTTGAGTTTTGCTGATTAAACTGTTATTATAGAAAAGTTTAGTTCTTGTTAAATTATTAAATTAAAAAGTTGAGGTTTTTCTTTTCCTTTTCCTATTTCTCACTTTCTATTTTCCTATTACTTTTATTTTCATTTGTATTTTATAATCTCAATTAAAAAGGAGTAAGTTCCAGAAAAAGAGAACACTCTATTCCTTATTAGCTTGGGGATGGAGAGTAGGAAAAAATTAGCATACTTTTCTGACAGCAGGAAGCTTCTAGTTTTATGTTTTATTCTTTTTTTTTGTTTTGTTTTGTTTAAGCACCTTCACCAGATGGCAGCACTTAACTGTCATTGTCTGGACTTGAAAGCTAAGCAAGACCAGGCCAGTTGAATATTTGGAGGGATGACTTCCAGACAATCCCAGAGCTGTAAGCTAGGTTGAAAAGTTGAAAAAAAATTCCTGGGACAAAAAGAAAACAAACTATTTCTATATGGTTATTAGGTAAAATCATATAAATGTGTCCACCAGGAACCAAATTTGACTTTAAGAAGACTTTATGTCTGTATTGGATAAGTTGCCTAAAGAATATTTTGATTAATAACTGGAAATTAAAGAAACATTATTCCCCCCACTGTGTGCTCCAGTTCAGAATGCAGGCATAGATAGCTTAAGAGTTGTGCCTTTTATACCCTCTGGCTGCATCTTACGAAGTTGCACCCCGGGTGAGGTAATGGAGGCCACGGAGGCTGTGCGGAAATTGGCTGGCAACATCTCAGCTGAGTCAGGGCTGACACCACGGAGGTCTTTCTCCCGGAACATCTTCCGCCAAGACGGGGAACGACTGAAGGTCTTGGCACTGTCCTAGAGACAAAAGTGCAACAAATATGGACAAACAGCAAAGCGTGAGGATGTCTCTCAAGCTTAGAGACTCTGGTGAAAGGAGAACTCACCTCATCTAGTCGCCGATCTGTTCCCATGGTGATGAGGTTCCCAAATTCTTTTTCTAAGATCTGCCGAGCCTAGGGTTTTTTAAAAAGTAGATTATTTTAGTCTTCTTTCCATTCCTTTGTTGTTTTGTAAAGCATAGTGTTCCCCCTGGCCCTCCACTTTTTTCCTTTCTCCAAAAATATTAAGGAATGGAGAAAAAGGGCCTTGGGATCCAATTGCTAGGACAGTGTGATGCGACTTAGGAATATGCATTGGCAACATGGTACCCTTGGTTCCCAGGCACTTCCAATTAAATAAAAATCAAGACAATTGAATAATGAACAAAAGTTGCAAACATGTACATGCTCCCCCCAACTGACCAATCATAGACATCTCATAAGATGTCAATCAAGAATTCAGAAAGAAAAATTGGGGGGATCTTGAGTTTATGACTGAGGTCAAAGAGGCCTACTTCTCATACTAAAAGCATTAAAACCTAGAAGGTTATGGCTACACTGACAAAGGCTCTAGATTCCCCTTTTTTTCTCATGGAAGCACATAGCTCATGACTGCTCGATTCTCTTCCCACCGCTATCCAGCTTCCCTATGTTTACTCCTGACCTGTGTGTTTTGCGTTGGGATCTGCAGCAGCAGGGCCAAGTCATTGCAATCAAAGGTGTCGTCCAGGGCCAGGAGGGCTCCATGCACCCCGCTTTCAACTAGATTGTTGGCAAACTCTTTCAGCCCAATCATTTGTACCCAGCACATCACACGCTCGTTGGACCACACCATCACATCTAGAAAAGGATGGGGAGGGAAAGGGAAGAGACAAGCTTAGCACCAAATTCAATTCTATGATCACCCACTCTAGCTATTTAATTGCCATTCCTTATTTACTTTCCCCAATTCAGATTTGTATATTCTGCTCAATGGCAACCTTTGGTCTTATCTTTTCTCATCTATATCTACCTTTGTTTTGGTTCTGACTCTCCTCTCGTCTTCTTTCCAGTTCCTTTCGGTCATAGTTAAGACGTTTCAGGCACATGATTCCATAATGAAGGCTCACCCTTAGAAGATATATCAGAAATTACACCACAGAAATGGCAAATGGCTCACTCTGGATCATCTATTAAGTTCGTAAGTACTGGCGGAAGTGGTAACTGCAACAGCAGTACTAATTAATGCTGGGTAGCTTGGTTATGGAGATGGAGTTCCCATTAAATTTCCTAAAAAGAGGCATCGACTTGTTGGGGGAAGGGAATCAAATGATGAAACGTGTGTTGCAACATTGCGATGCAAACTCTACCCCTTCTGTACATGCACCGTGATATTGCACACATGTATATAAGAGGTGGAGCTTGCATTGCAATGCCACTCTGCACATTTTGACGAAAACTCCACATTCAGCAGACACTTCTGTGAGCACTGGGTAGAAATCGAAATGCTTTCCCTGAAGTTCCAGCATTGATTGGAAGTGCAGCAGAGCAAGACTTTGAGACAAAATCCAGGCCTTCACTGAACAGAAAGATCACAAAATAGAGCAAGTTGATATACCATATTCTGAAGCCAGCAATTTTATATATAAATATATATGTATATATATATATATATGTATATATATATGCATCTAAAGAAAGTTCCCAGCAAGATCATTATATGCACTGTCTACGGTACATTTCTTTACTGCACCATTGAGAATGATGTTGCTAAAAAAAACAGGATTGCAGCAGATGCCCAACAGGATGATGATGCTGGATCCACATTAAGTAACCGAAGGTGTCCTGGTAAATTTTCAGTTCACATGTTGTTCATACCGAGCTTTTTCTTGAGAATTTCAGTTCTAAGTGTTCCGTTTTATGGCTAAGAAGAGCAGATGATATTCAAGGCAACTTCTTCCAGCCTTAAGCTTAATATCCACATGAAACTGCAATTCTAGAATCTTTTGTAAGTGGATGAACATTAATAAATGTTACATTTGGTTGAAATTACATACTTTGCACACATACATATATGCCTCACAAACTTAGTGCTGTAAGTTATGTCAGTAACATGAATCTATTCCTCCACATGGAAGGCTCAAGCCATTTGCTCTTCTCACCTATGGAAACTGTCCACCATCTTGAGTTGGCCCCGTAGTTCCTTCTTGTTGAGGTGGTCCAACATCCGGGCATCAACTAGAGACTCCATGAAGTAACTGCGGTACTGAGGCAAGCCCAGGCTGGGCAGCCAATCATTTCCCACCCACTCATGGTTCATATCTCCATATGCCAGGATCTGAAAAAGCAGAAAAGGGAGACTCTGAAGGACTATATTTGCATAATGAATTTAATTCAGTCACTGAATTGGCCTATTTTGGGGATTCACAATATATAAACCATCAAGGACAGGCCAAAGTATACCCTAACCAAGCTTAGTGTGCTATTTAAATGCATCTGACCTAGTTAAGCATCTTTGCTCACAATCTGAGTGAGAAAATATTTCTTTCCTTCCATATACTAAAGATCTGCACTGTAGTTTTTCCATTTTCTTGTTCCTGCAATATTTGAGCATCTGTTATAAATCCACGTCCATTAATTTGCAATCTTTGCTTCAGATAATTTCAGTAACTAACCTGGCTTCTCTACTTAGCCTAAATAGCTTTCTGAAACTTGGGGAAAGTCAATGTCTCATAGGACTGTTATGAGGATAAAATGGACTTTAGAGTTGGTGTATGTTTATGGCTCTCTTCCTTTACTGTGTGAACTTGCCTATGTTTTCTGTCTTGCTGTAGACACTTTCACATTAAGGCAGCCTTTTCATGATATAACACAAGACAATTCTTTCTCCCAGCCATGCTTCTTGGAAATAAGGAAGTGTAATCTAATATATTTGGAGGGCACCAAACTGGAAAGACTGTTCCAAGGTTTCTCTTATTAGATTTCCTTGATGGCATTCCAAATGCAATATATCTTCCAAAAACATTTTTTTTCATGTTGATTCTTTACCCGATACTGAATTAAAATTATTCCATTTCATTAATACAACAATTTAGCTGTTAGCTGTTGCCTGATAAATGCTTCTTTTAAAATATATTTGGGGAATTGGAAGATTTTTGAATTCTGTACCCTTTACTGTGGATATAAGAAATCCTAAAATGTTGCTGCTGTCTGCAATCCAGATGGTATTGACGGAAATGGACTGTAGATCTGACTCAGCAGCAGGCTTCAGATATTGTGCTCTATCAAATGTTGCTTGATTTTGTGCCATGTGAATCCAGTCATTGGGGCTTGGAAACTACCCTAGTTTAATACATTGATAAAATTCAAGAATTGTTGTTTATATAACAAATCATGTTTAAAATGTTTTACTACTATGTAAAATCCCAACAGTGAGTCACACAACAGCAGTGTAAAAAAAATGTTGTGGGGTTTGTTGAACAAAGCAGAAATCTTAAATAAAAGCAGAAAAAAGTAGCCTAGTTGAGAAAATAATTTTCCAGACAGGATCCAGTATTGAATAATTTTTTATTCTGGGATCTGATATGAAATCCCTTTTTCATGAAACTCTGACATTTATTCTTAGTTTGAAATCTTACTATTGGAAGCAATTACTTCTAGATGGGTCACAAGCTGTGAAGGCTGTAATAACAGAAGCATAGAGGTAAGAGACCAGTGAATCCAGCCTTTGCTCAGAACAGGAATACAAGCTAAAAGCATCACAAAAAAGTGTCTTGCCTAGCCTGTGCATATACTATCCAGGGAAGGGAAATCATCAGATCCCTAAATAATTGGCTCCATTGTTGAACTGCTTTTCTTACTTGGACCTTTTTCCTACATTCAAACAGATCCCCCTCCTTCTAATTTAAAACCACTATTCTGTATCTTCACACAACATAGAAAAGAATTTAGCCATCTTCTATATAACAGTCCTTTAGCTACTTGAAGGATGTTATTATATTTCTTTAATCTCTCTTAGCAAGATTTAATTTCCAGGTTTTTGATTGTTTATCTTCACTTCACTTCTCTGAATCAGTTCCAGTTTGTCCAAAACCTTCTTAAATTATAGGTATTCAAAACTTGAGGTATAGTCAGTGAAGAATATTTTTTCCCAACTGCCACTGAGAGGTTTCAAGACATTCATTTCTTTTTCATTTATTTCCAAAACAAGAGAACTTCTTCTAGTTAATATATGCAGCTATCCTCAGACAAGATTCTTCCTCACCTAATTATAGTTGGCCATCAAGAAAGTCAGAAGATATAGCAGTTGATAGATTACCATAATATGTGAAAGCAGGACAAAAAAATGGAGGGAATCAGAAAGAATCATATAATTGTTTTTCTTTTCCAAGCATTGCTATAATCTCTGATTACTGTAATGAAATATCAGATGTGCCTGAGTGAATAATTCTATTTAAATAAATATTTATATAGATCTTCCTGAAACAACAATACAAAAATATATCTATTAGAGCTAAAAGGAGAATTCTACAGAAATTAGGTTATGCATTTCAGCACTTATTTAGGACCAATTTGTAAAAAGCATGTGATTGATACATCTATTTTCTCTTCATTTTTATTCATTTAGCTACATATAACATTCTGATTATATTATCCAGTCACTTAATGAAGTGCGAGTGCTTTTAATATCAGCCCTGCTTTTTACCATAAAAGGAAATAAATACATACAGACACATGCAAATTAAGAGAGCCAGCATGTGAATCCCGCCCATACCTGCTCCCAGCTGATTTCCTTTGTTTCCTGTATAGTGATTAAATGGAAAGCAGGAAGGAAAGTAGAAAGGAATCATTAAGGAAATCTTTAGTGTACTTTATTCACAAACACACATTACAGTAGCTCAAAGTTAATGGATATGTCTCCATTGTGGTAAGCAATTTCCAGTTGATCTTAAATAAATCTACACATGCAATAAAAAGAGATGAGTGTGGGGTATGAATCCCATTAACATTAACCAATGGATCCAACTGTGGTCATGCAAAAAGAGAGAGAGAGTGTGTGTTAAGGAGAAATCTAGCATCACAGGGAGAGAATTGGGCTACAGTGTTTCTTCCTACTCTTTTCCAATAAAAAAAGCTTCCTTCAATGTGAACCAGAATAATCTTCTCTATTGATTCATTTTGCCGTATCTGGAGCTCTGGTCTCCAAACAGGAGCATTTGCAGTATCCCCAAGGAAATTAGGATTAAAGGAACCAATCACAAGAGTTCAGGAAAGAGTGACTACTCTACTCTGCTCTGCTCTGCTCTATAAATTACTTACATTACCATTCTTTCAGGTAATAGACTAAGCATATCATTTCAAATGGTTTCACTCAATGATAGTTTTTTTTTTTTTAATTTGGCAACTATGCAGATCCCACAGTCCCACTGCTGTTTTTAAGGAATTCCCATGGGGACACAGAATGATAGATTAGCTCAGTGTTTCTCAATCTCAGCAACTGTGATCTGTGAACTTCAATTCCCAGAATTCCCCAGCAGCATGAAGTTGAAGTTCACAGATCTTCAAGTTGCTGAGGTTTAGAAACACTGGATTAATTCAAGATGGGGTACTAATCAGAAAAGTCTGGCCTACATTGGATTAAAGTTTATTACTAGTCCTTCCAAATATAAAAGGAAACTAGAATGCTTTCACCAAGTGTTATCCCTAAGCATGGATTTTCTGCAAATCACTAACAGGAAGAAAACTGTCAACTTGGGTAGGAAAGCTACTGATGAGTCCAAAGATAGTGCCATCTAATCTTCTAATCATGCATACATACAGAATCACACGCAGGAAACTGCAATACAAGATCCTGGAAACAGCCACAACATGGAGCCCAACAGGGAAGGCAGCTGATTTGAGGGACAGCATCCATAGCAGTAACACTTACTGGCTTTGTTGTGGCTGTAAGAGATTCCATCTCTTCATGTGTCATCCACACATTTCCAGTAGACTAGCAAGAATAGTAGAGAGGGAAAAAAGAGGAGAGGAAGGAGGCAGTTGTGAATTTTAACAAGTAGAGAAAGCAGAAAGCTGTCAGCTTCCCTGCTAGTCAAGACAAGGCCCAGCAAAGGGCAGTGTATAAAGAACTCATCACTTACTGTACGCGAAGTAGCAGGGGCTGAGGGACTGGTCAAGGAAACCATCTCCTGAATGGCAAGGCGCAACTTAAGCCGGTGCAAAGGATTACTGATGCCAATTTCTCGTTGGATTTCTGTATCAGACAAGTTGGCCATAATGGCACCACTTTTGACGTTGGCACGGCAGGCAGCCACATACCAGGCTGGCATGCCCACCCACAGCTGCCAGAGTAAATGGGAAGAAAAGTTAAGTAAATGCTTATGCAGCTCTGAAGGAAATCAATCCCTAACCCATGGATCTCATTTGGCCCTGGTAGAATTTCCCATGAAATTATTGTTGGTTCTTGGATGAGCAAATGTTACCCTTTAAGCCACTGTCAACAGGTGGGATTTAATGTTCACTGCTTGTGCTGGGGTGGGGTTCACAGCTCCATGTTCCATGCAATCTTTAATCATGGTGAGATACTACATGTAATAAAGAAACAAACTCTTTCTATGAAACTTGTGGCTGCTTCAAAAAGTATTTAAAATAACTGCAGCAACAAAAAGTCTCTGTTCTATTAAAGAAATCATTAACTTTTTTAGGCTCAAGTGGAAGCATGAAAAAATACAGACTGCTTTAATGAATAGAAAGAAGAGGAAGGCAGAATTCCGAATACCCATTCACTGAATTTCAATCCAATCCAGCTCTGTGCATGCCTTTATCCCTTGTTATTTTACGAACAGTGAAAGATGCTATGTTGACACAAGGTGCAGTTTTACATTTTTTACAATAAAAATTGCTGATTCATTATGATGTTAAAACAAATTCTTAAATATTTTTTTATGGAAAGCACAATTGGTCTTATATGGTTTCTGCCAGGGGAAGCAGCTAAACAGATCACAGATCCATCCTCCTTATTCACTGAAATATCTCATATAAACTGGGGCGGGGGGGGGTGTCTAATGGCTTCCTCTCCTATTAAACCAAAACTAAAGGTTTGATCTTGGTTTTGAATCCTTGGCTTATTTAGAATAGGGAGCCTCATATGTATATCGCAAACCACAAAAGGAGTTTCTGTAATTTGCTCATGATACAGTGTGATTGTGACACTAGTAACCATCTTCCCAGAACCTGACTTTTCATCCACACTGATTACCTCCAGCCATGAGACAACAGTAGGTCCATCCCAGGCAGCAAAAGGCAACCCTTGTCGACAAGCTTCTTCCAACAGCTCATGCCTGGGCACAGAAAATACAGAAACAGAGAGAATTAGGAGAAAAGAAATAACTTCTGAAAATCCCAAGATTGTTTTTCCTTCAAGACATGGCTTTTCCAGCAAGCGGGCCTGACCTAGGGAGGATTTTAGGTAGGGATGATTTTAAGAAAATTTTAATTGACACACAGCTTCCAATATTTGGCTTTTAATTTGGTTTTATGGGGTTTTTTTGTTTTTTGATGTATTTTGTTTGTATCTGTTTTAATATGCTGTGCACCGCCCTGAGTCCTACGGGAGAA